GGTAGTCAGACCAGCGAGAGATGGGTTTTGTATCTGCATTGTGGAGAGGCTGACCCCAGCACCCTGTCAGTTCAGCCAGCCAGTACTGGGAAAGGAGGGGTAGAGTACCTCTGCCTCTCTTGCAGGCTGGGAGCTATCCCGCTGGGCACAGTTTGGTGGGGCTAGGGAGACAAGCTCAGAGGAGGATATACCAAGAGTATGACCCTCAGGAGCTACTGTTTGCCATGAGGAAATGCCTAGCCCTCCTCCTTGGGGCTGGGCAGGTAACATGCTCACCAGAGACTCTTTTTATCAATCCTGCTGAGCCCAGAGCAGTTGAAACTGCCCGTACAGAAAGGGCAGCAGGCTGTGTCCAAACTGCACCTGCATCAGGTCATTATAGGGGGAACTAGGGTTGGAGGATATGGTAGAGATTGAGGAATATGGCTCTGAGGCAGAGATTCATTTCCTCTCAATGAGTGCCTGAAGGTAAAATCTCTAAGTAAGGGGTCCTCTAGCCCTAGCTATGCTAGCCTGCCTCCACCCTAAAAACTCTTTTTGGAAGACACTGGAGAAAGACCAAAGCAACTGCAGGGCGGAGAAGGAGCAGCTGACAGAAGGAGGGGGTCCTCAGAGAGCCTTAGACTGGCCAGCTAGAACAGGACACTGAGAGCCAGACTTGGACAGCTCTTGACATGGGCTGACACAAAAGTACCTCCCAGAAGGCCTGAAATTAGCATACAAAACAGTGAGCCACAGACAACATAAGCTGCCCAGACAATCTTCACTTGGCTGGCTTAAAAAAATTTTGTTTTGTTTGTTTTCTTTTGTTGTTCTTTTTTTCAATGTTTTCTTTATTTTTTCTGCTCTATTACTTTGACATTTTTATTGTAATTGTTAAGTTTTTTGCTTTTATCTTTTATTTCTTTCATCTCTCTCTCTTTTTAAACATATATTTTTATTGATTTCAGAGATGAAGGAAGTGGGAGAGAGAGATAGAAACATCAATGATAAGGAGTCATTAGTCGGCTCCCTCCTGTATCCCCCTCCCCACAACCACTGGGGATCAAGCCTGCAACCCAGGCATGTGCCCTTGACCAGAATTGAACCCGGGACCCTTCAGTCCGCAGGCAGATGCTCTATCCACTGAGCCAAACCAGCTAAGACTCTTTCATATGTCTTACTGGTCCCCTTCCTTTACTTACTCTATCTTTGCCCCTCCACCCCAACACCTTTCTCTTAGCCATTCTTTCTTTTTATTACCTGCCTCTCTCTTCTTGTTACCTTTGCATAACTTTTTTCTTCTATCTTCTTGTTTTTTTTAAGTCTTCCTTTTTCTACTCTCTACTCTTATTTTTTGCTTTCCATTCTTTCCTTTCAGAATTTTTTTCTGCCCCATTTATTGTTCAGTATCCTCTTTACTTTTTATTTTTTTGCTTTCAACAATATTATCCTTTTCTCTTCTTTTAAAAATTTAAATTATTTATTGAAAATATTACATATGTCTCCCCCCACCCCATTGACCTCTCCCTGCTCGCTCCTGCCCCCAACACATGCCCTCACTCCCCTAGTGTCTGTGCCCATTGGTTATGCTCATATGCATGCATAAACATCCTTTAGTTGATCTTTTACCACCCCATCTCTTACCCTCCCCTGCCTTCCCTCTGAGGTTTGATGGTCTTCTCATGCTTCTATGTCTCTGTATCTATTTTTGTTCATCAGTTTATGTTGTTCATTATATTCCACATATGAATGAGATCATGTGATATTATCTTTCTCTGACTGGCTTATTTCGCTTAGCATAGTGCTCTCATGGTCCATCTATGCTCTTGCAAATGGTAAGAGTTCTTTCTTTTTTACAGCAGCATAGTATTCTGGGGGGTGTCTGACTGCCAGTTTAGCCCCTATCCTGCAGCAGGATCATCCCTCTCATAATTTGGGACCACTGGCTCCTAACTGCTTGCCGCCTGCCTGATAGCCCCTAACCACTCGCCTCCTTTCCTGATTGCCCCTAACCACTTCTCTGCCTGCCTGATCTCCCTTAACTGCTTGTCTGCCTGCCTGATCGCCTCTAACTGCTCCAGAGAAGGGTGGGGCCAACTGGGGCAAGGGGCCATGGTCATTCTGGTCTCTGGTCATTCCACCGTTTCGGTTGCTGGACTTTTATTATACAGGATGGTGAAATTTAGTAGGCTTTTAGTTTGAGAGTGAAACAATACAAGGACACCTGGATAGCTAGCCACAGTCATAATTTCTCTTCAACATTGTGCTAAATATTTTAACTATTGGAGTTAGGCCCAGAAGTGGAAGAATAGGAAAAGGAATTGAGCCGAAACTGGTTTGGCTCAGTGGATAGAGCGTCGGCCTGGGGACTAGAGGGTCCCAGGTTCGATTCCGGTCAAGGGCATGTACCTGGGTTGCGGGCACATCCCCAGTAGGAGATGTGCAGGAGGCAGCTGATCGATGTTTCTCTCTCATCGATGTTTCTAACTCTCTATCTCTCTCCCTTCCTCTCTGTAAAAAAATCAATAAAATATATTAAAAAAAAGAAAAGGAATTGATATATAATCTGTATATAAAGAATGCCACAGAATGCACAGATAAATTATTAGAATTAAGAAGACAGTTTAAGAAATTTGCTAGAGATAAAATGAATCTAAAATTAATCATATGTCTATATGAAATTTTAAAAAATTAACTTTTGAAAAAGTTAATATTTAAATTGCATGAAAATTATCAAATAACTAAACATAAAGCTAAAAGAAGATGTGTAAGCTCTCTTTGGTGAAAATTATAAAATTGTTTTAAGAGATACTTAAGAAGTCCTAAATATAAAGATATTCTTATATGCATGCATATAAGCATAACCTATGGACATAAGACACTGGCGGGTAGGGGAGGCTAGGGGATTGTCAAGGGTGGGGAAAAAAGAAAGACATATGTAATACCCTTTGTAATACTTTAAGCAATAAAAAAAAAGATATTCTATGTTTGTGGATTGGAACCAAAACATTTTTAAAAATGTCATTTCTTGAAAAATCGATGTGTACCAAGAGGTATTTTATAGAACTGAATTGATTCTAAATACATTGATCAAGCAACTGGCCAACAGTAGCCAAGATGGGGTCCTGTTGCCCCTGAACTCCTGCACCATCTACACTTCACCTGCTCATCTCACAGGTGCATTCAGCTCTTCTCTCACCTGTGCTTCCGCCAGGGCTGGGAGCCCCAGGGAACACTTGGCACATGGATGTAGGGACGGTCTAGTGTGAAACATGAGCTTTTATTTGCTTTCCAGCTTACACTTAAATGTGCTGGGTTTTGTTCCTCATATCCTTGAGGTTCATTTGCTATTCTCTTTAAGGAAGCTGTTTTTCCTTTCGATGTGGGTCCCACTTGACTCCTTGTTTGTGCAGCTGTTGTGAATTTGTTGTGTTCTGTCACTCCAGCCACGGGTGGTGCTGTTTGGAGGATACAGGCCTCTGAAATAGGGTCATCTGGGTCACAATGAGCTGCCTTGCACTTGAAATGTGGCATTTTGGGGGTTTGTGGGCTGAGGCTAGTGCCCCCTACCTGTGCTGTAAGTAAAGGTAAGGCTGCCCTGGCTGCCTCCTCCCTCACCTCCCGGCATGGACTCCACTGAGTGGACTGGAAAACTCAGGACACATAGGCGTCCATTTCACACTGTCATTCTGGAACCAAGCACGATCTGGCATGTGAAACTGTTATGTGCAATAAAGAGAAAACACTGAGAGTTTAATTATTTTCAAGACAAAATTTCTTGTGGATTTCAAGTACAGACCTATCTGTGCAAAACCCATCTGCCTGGTGGAGGAGAGGAACTAGGACAATTTAGAGGAAATTCCTCATCACGGCAAGTGTCCCAATGGCAGGGACAGAGCCTGTTTGTTCCTGCCACAAAGATAGAAGGACATTTTATCTATTGTTGGATGGCAAAGTGGTACTTGATAGCCATGAGGCTCACAAAGATGCCATAACCCAGGTAGCCAGCAGGGGGAGGCAGGACCTGCAGCCAGGCCAGGCTGAAAGGGGCTGAGGTAGCTGAGTGGCTGAGTTCTTGGGGGGGATGCTGGGCTGGAAGGCACTGAGCTGGTCTTGCCCAGGTGGGAAGTAGATTCTGGCTCTTCTGATAGGCATCAGGTGCGCTGGCAGTCAAGGTCTGGTGAGGAAGCAATAGAGGAGAATTCATGCAGGATATTGGGAACTGTGTTAGATAGATGAGAGAGAGGCTGGCTCAAAATAAGGTGGTCTGGGTGGGGGGTGGAGGTGGGGGTAGAATCTGGTGTCCAGGCACTCAGAAACAAAACAGGGGCTGGTGTGGGAAGGTCAGCCATGCAGGAAGGAGGCTGGATGAGCTCAGTGCTGTCCAGGGGCAGGGCAGGGCAGGGAAATGGGACCTGAGTAGGCTGAGGGTCATCATAGGAGCATCTGAGCCTCCTGAGAATCCTGCCCCCACTGGAGAGAGTGGCCTTGGAAACAGGAAACAGTGCCCATGGCATGGCCCCCTGGCCTCTAGAGCCCCAGAGTTATTCCCCTTCTACTGACCTGCTCCTCCTTCAAAAAAATGGTTGGGGCAGGGGCGGTTGGTGATAGAATTTATCTTAGATATGAAGTTTCTGAGGCCCAAAGAGGACCATTTCTGAGGATAGAGTTTTTTTAATTTTTTTTTAAATAATGGAGCTTAGAATCAGACCTTCCAGAGGGTTAAGCACCAAAGAGGTATGCTTACAAAATGGATGAGAAACTATAGTGTATGGGGTTTAGGGAGAGGTGGAGGCTGGAGTTAGAAAGAAGGAAGCAAGCCCAGAATTGCCAGCAGAGGGCGCATGGAGCAGTGTTGTTGCCTATTGAAAGGAGTTCACTGAATAAGACTTCTGTGGCATTGGCTCTAGAGATGTGTTTGTTAGGCCCTGTACTCCACACTGCCCGCCCATGGGATTCTTGCCTCTGCCCCCAGATGGATGGTCAAGCCAAGAGGAAAGTCAGCCTCACGCCTGCTTTTAGAGGCTCTTCATTGTTCTCTGTATCGAGGGGAGGAAGTATGAGTCGTTCATGAAGACTCCTGGAGGTTTCTTTTCTCCACAGGAGAAAGTTCCCTGGGCCTGTTGTTACATGTGAGGGGGCCCCAGAGTCTCCCTGTGAGCCAAAAGAGGAAAGACTGAGCTGGACTCCTCGGGGTCCTGCCCTCCTGGCCACCTAGGGGCGGGTGGTCTGTGTTGGGGGCTGTAGGAGGATCAGGGTCAGGGCTGGCCTTGTTGCCTCCCTTGGTCCCCAGCTCCAGCCTGGCTTTAACTGTCCCTTCCAGCTTGACTCATGCTAAGCCTTTCTCTCCAATACCCAGGGACACTCAGGATAACACTGCTGTGAGATGACTGATTCTTCCTCACCTCCAGCCCTGATCCCCCAGGGGAAAACACCAAAGACTGGGTTTGTGGACCAGGCTGTCCAAACTCTCAGGACGAGGCATGAAGAGATGACCGCTCCCATACCCTAGAGCTTCCCAAATTCTATCTCCTGGGACCTGTCGAGGTAAATGCTGAAAGTTGACTCCAAAGCCAGTCTTCCTCTCCTCTGGCTGTCCTTCCCAAATCTGGTGAACTTGCGGTGGTATCTGGGGAAGTGGAGTTTGCATTCCTAATTTTTCTGAAAGGCCACCTCCTGCAGAGTGGTTGGTAGAGTACCATCTCCATGGGTCCTCAGCCAGCCACAGTGCCCTCCTGTCCTGGCATCACCAGCCCTTGACCCTGAGCAGTTGTAGGGGCTTCACAGCTTTAGATAATTTGATGTTTCTTCCCAGCTGATGGGGAAGAGGCAAGAGAGTCCAGGTCTGTCCATGGCCTCTGGGCCTGGACACTGAGATGAAGCTGCAGTGTCTTCCTTCACCCCTGAACCACTGGGACAGGTCAGACAGCCGGGAAAGGAAGAAATAAAGAAACACATCACAGTGAGAGGAGGAAGAATGAGAACCCAGAACTGCAAGAGCAGCGGGAGGTTTCCTCACCTGCAGTAACATGATGTCTTTGGAGAAGCTCTTAGGATTATAGTTTGGGTGCAGGATGGCTCTTTTCACCAGGATGACCTGCTGGGTCTTCCCCTGCTCCTTGATGGTGTGGGCCCCCAGGTGACACTGCCTGACGTGCACTGAGAGCAGAGTGGGGTCTGGGAGTGGGGGTGGGGGTAGAGTCACAGGAGATACAGCCTAGGAGCGGTAAAGGGCAGGTGACAACTGGGACAGGGTAGGGGAAATCGAGGCCATAGGAACCAGGGGCTGAGTGACTCTGCTTCTTAATGACACTGAGGTTAGGGAGCTGGGAGCTCTCTCCTGCACTCAGGAAATATCACAAAATCGCTTGTGCTTACATTTTGACTTTAATGCATCCTTCTTCATCCACTGCAGCTTTATTTGCCCAGTGTGGTCCCTCCCTCTCTTCTCAACTACTTCACTTGCTGTCACCTCTGACCCTCTGAGCCCAAAGCTTACCTGTCCTATTTCTCAGCCTCTCGTTGCTCCGTCATGATTTCAGAGGGATCCTCTGATGAAGCGTCATGGGCTTGAGTTACCAGGAGCCTGGGGAGTTGTCCTGGGCTGCAGCTCCCAGGATGAAGGACAGGATCCCTGTAGGGGTCTCAGGAGGTGTAGCCTGGCTGTAGCCTCTCACCTTCCACTGAGGTGAACAGCTGTCCGGACCAAGTTCACGCTCACAAGGATACACCACACCTGGTCTCCTCATCTTTTTTTTAAAAATATATTTTTATTGATTTTTTACAGAGATGAAGGGAGAGAGATAGAGAGCTAGAAACATCGATGAGAGAGAAACATCGATCAGCTGCCTCCTGCACATCTCCTACTGGGGATGTCCCGCAACCCAGGTACATGCCCCTGACCGGAATCGAACCTGGGGCCCTACAGTCCGCAGGCCAATGCTCTATCCACTGAGCAAACCGGTTTTGGCTGGGCATGGATGATGCTGGAGATCTCACCTTATAAGTAGACTGATTCATTTCTGGGTCTCCCACACAGATCTCTGTGGCTCTGTTGTAACGGCATCTGTAGCAAGAGATGCACTGCTCATCTGGTTGGATTTCCAGCTCTACCTCATGCAGTGTGGCTGTGCTGGTGCTCAGGTAGAGTTGCCTGCAGCCAGCCACTCTGCACACCATCCCTGGCTTCACCTGCTCTCCCCTCCTGGGCAGCCTGAGGAGGCTCACGGCGGCAGTCAGGTTGGCCTTCCTTTGCAGCTGAAGGAAGAGGATAGGAATTCTCATTGAGCAAGGGCCCAGGGACTCCAGGACAGTCATAGCCCTGGGACAAGGAAAGGAGTCACACTGGGAGGAACGACAGGAAGGAGGTCACAGGAGATGAGAAACCCCAGGCTTAAGGTGTGCAAGAGCCAGTGGAGCAATGAGCCCTACCTGCAGCAACATGATGTCATTGACTTTGGGGTGATAGTTTGGGTGGCGGATGGCGGTTTTCACTGGGATGACCTGCTGGGTCCTCTCGTGCTTGCTGATGTTGTGGGCGCCCAGGATGACTGTGATGGATCTGCACAGAGACAGCCAGGGATGTGGAGGCACAGCAGATACAGCCCAGAGGCCAGGAAGGAAAGAGGACAGCTGGGGGCAGTGCAGGATTGGAGTGGGGAGGAATTCTAGGGGATGGGGCTGGGAACTGAGCATGCCTGTGCCCTGTGCTTGTTGGCAGCTCAGGCTAGGTGTCATTTCCTGGGGCGGTTCTTGGGTGCTCAGTCACACCCTGAGCTTGCTTGTGTCTCAGCAAAACCATAAATATCTCACATTTGTACCCTGGTCTCCGGGGCACAACCTTGGCCTCCTTCCTAAGCCCCTTTGATCAGTCCCTCCAGTCTTCAACAGGCCACTTGCACCGACCTGTCCCTCTCTCCCCAAACCTGACCTGTGCTCTGAAGTGCTCCTCTGTGCCCCTAGGTCTGCAGCCCCTGAGAAGAGGGTTCCCTGTGAGGTGCCTGCAGAAGGGTGGGGCCCAGGCTGTACTCCTCACCTTCCCTAGCAGTGGGCTGCTGTCAGCACAAAGTCCTCACGCACAAGGAAACCCCCACATCTTTTTCTGCCTGCAGTACCGATCTGAAGAAATGCCATGTAGGGACGAGAGTGAGGCTTGACCTCATGACCCCCGATGATTTTCCCTCCAAGAAAAATTCTACTCTGCTGCTGTGCCCATGGAGCCAGAGGCTGGAGAGGGGAAGACTGGGAAGGACAGGGGCAGGCGGGGAGGCAGATAGTGATGTCTGCAGTCATCAGCCATAACCAAGAAGACATCCTACAGGTTCCTCAGGCAACATTCCTGGCTTGCTATGTGACTTGACCCATGAGACTGAGATACTCCCTCTGACAAAGAGAAGAGCAGTCCTGATCCCTTCATTCCTGTTGCAGCCATGCATGTGGGCAATGGGATTTGTGTCTGGAACAAGCAGTTTAGTGCCTGTAGAGCATGGAAAATTCTTACCCTCAGGATCCCTGGTTCTCTCTCCCTTTTTGTTCCCAGACTCATGGAGCTCCTGCTGGTTTGCACTATTCAGAACATTGGGACTAAAAAATTACCTGAGAATACTAGAGACTCATCCAGCCTCAGGGGACCAGGATGCCACCAACTCTGGGATCAACTGGATCCCCAGCTCATTTGCAAAGCTTGGAGAAGAGGGTAGAGTTTGGGGATAGATTTTAAGACATTGAGTTAGAATGTTATGGGCCTTGCTTTGATTACGGAAGCCTCTCCCCTTTGCCAAGATGCGATTTCCTGTGGAATTATTCCTCACTATGAGCATCCAACCTTCTTCCAGTTGCCTTTGCAAAAGAGCCCACTTTCCAGATGGCAAGGGACTGGGAGAGCACCCACTGGCCCTCCTCAGGAGCAGCCCTCTGCCCTGCCATCCCTGCTGCTGTCACTCAGCATTAGTCTTGCTGGTCTTTGAGGGAGGTAGTATCTAGAGTTGAAAAAGCACCTGAGGATGGACCAGGGCCAGACATGTCTGAGTGTAGCATGTGAGTAGGGCTGTGCCAGTACCGAATGGCATTGGGCTTCTGCTGGGGGTCAGTCACTCACCTGCCTGCGCCTTGGGAGCCAGAAGAAAGGCCATAAGGAGCAGAAGTGGCTGCATCTCCTCAGGAAGCTGCCCAGGTCAGAGTTGCTGGTGCTTCGTCCTGGTCTTCTGAGCCCAGGTTTCTCTAGTGTTGTGGCCTTTATCACATACAGCCCTCTCTGAGTGCGTCACACCGCGGTGTTGTTAAGTTCTTGGGCAATGTGGGTTCATGTGAAGGAGGAAGAGGAAATTACATTCAGATAAAAGTCAACGCTGTCAGTTTCACTTGTGTTCAGGTGTCAGAACCTGTATTATTCCCAATGCCTGGCACTTGGTAGGTGCACAATCAGCATTTGTTCACTGATTGATGGAAAAACTGTGCTTTCCAGTCCTACTGCAGAGAGCAGCCCTTTCTAACTCAAAAGGCAGGTAGAGCTCATGGTGGCCAGCACGCAGCCTGAGCCTTGAGGCCAGCAGTGAGGAACAGGCTGCAGGGGACAAAACCTCCTGAGTGACCAGCAGTCAGTTGATTCTGAGCACATGGTGGGGACACTGGACTAGATGTGAGGGTGGAGCTGGCTCTGCCCAGTGAGAGATGGGGCCAGGTGTTCTGCAGTCACCCTGTTGCCCTGTCCTCCAGGGCCCTGCCTGGGGCCAACACAGTCCTGGTCCCCTGATAACCCTGTGCCAGGAATAAGCTGGGTGGCAACTCAGTGATCAGGCCCTGCTGGAACCTGGGCACTCTGGGTGTCCTCGGTGGGAGGGATATGCAGAAGTGGGAGCTCAGACCAGTGCGGTCTGTGGGGCGCAGGGTTGGTGGACTCTGAGGATCCTCAGTGGTCAGCAGGGATGAGAAGAAGGGGCAGCCAGGAGACTGGAGGCCAAGCTAGGCCCTGAGCTCAGAGGAGGGCAGAAAAGGGCAGGGAGAGAAATTCAGCCCAGGAGGGAATGAGGAGCTTCTCAGGACTTCCCTCGCTCCTCCACCCCTGTCTCTCCTCACCCACCCCCAGTCCCCAAATCTGCCACTCCCTGGTTGCTGGAGAACAATGTCCTGCTCAGGAGGGCTCTCCTCTCCCCTGTGTGGTGGGGCCTCCTGAGCTGCAGCCCAGGCTGTGCCTGCTTGGTGCCCAGCACCCACGTGCTAGTCCTTTCCTCTCAACACGTAACACAGAGGAAGAAGTAAGACCTTCACACTGAGCCCAGGACCTGAGAGATTCATGTTTTCTCCTAATGGTGCTCCTCTCTGCCCTGGCAGAAGGGCGGGCAGGTGTGGCCCAGAAGGAGCTGCTAACCGCTTAGCATGGGTTTGAGAAGGTAATAGGGGAAGGGGAAGAGGGGTAAGCAGGACACAGCAGAATTGTGCCATTGCCTTCTGAGCACATGAGGGACAAAGAATAAACAAAATACCCAGCTCTTTCCATCAGCTAAGATTCATTTATTCAGTTGTTGGCTCCACCTCCCTCCCCGCAGTGTGGTCCTGGATTAGCTCCAGAGAAGATGGTCTGGGTCCTGCAGTTGGAGGCTTTTCATGGTTTTCTTTATCCAGGGAAGGTAGCTGGCGACTTTGGTGAAGGCTCGTGGCGGTGTCCCATCAGTGCGTCCATAGGAGACAATGCCCTGGATCTCATTTTTACACAGGAGAGGCCCCCCGGAGTCCCCCTGTGGACAGAGAGAGGGAAGGACTGAGCCAGTTCTCCTGGCTCTCCTTGCCACCCCATGTCCCCCTCGGAGAAGGCTGCCTTACATAGTGTTCAACTGGGAGATAAGCGGGCAGGCAGTCCACAAGGGCCCCTCAGCCTGGACATTGTCACTGCTTCACTTCACCCCAGGTGGCAGCTCCCTCTGTTCTCACAGATCCCAGGTCCTCTATCTATGAAGGTGCTGCAGAGCTGTGGCTGCAGCCTACTGTGTAAGGACCCGAGAGCAGGCAGGTGGGGCTGACACTTAGCATGCAGAAGGAGCCCATTAACCAGCTCTGAGAACCCTCAGATACAACTACTGCTCAACCAGGAAATGGTTATCTAAGCGCTGTGCCCTGGCCTTGGCAAGTGTTGCACATTCACTCTGTGGAGGATCACTGTGTTTGGAGTGACTATAGGCCCTTGTAGGCTCTCAGAGACCCCATTTCTCCCAGATCTGGGGGCTCCCCATTTTTCTTTCTTGGGAGAAAGATCACAGACTAGAGGGTGAAGAAGTCTCCTGATGCCTGGGTCCCCAGCTCCCAGTTCCTACCCAAATACCCCTCTCCCAGAGCCAAGGTAGTCAGATTCTCAGTATCACCTGGAAGGAAGCCTTATTTTCTGTTGGGTCCCCCACACACACTTGAATGGTTCTGTTGTAATAACGGCGTAAGTGGCCTTCACACTCCCCATCCTTCTGCAAGGTTAGCTGCACCTCCTGCAGAGTGTCTGAGTATTTGCCCCATGTGGTGACCTTCCCCCAGCCGGCCACAGTGCACTTCTGTCCAGGTCTCAACCTGTTCTTGCCCCTGGGCAGTCGGAGGGGCTTCACAGCATTAGTTTGCTTGATGTTTCTCTCCAGCTGGTGGGGAAGAGGCAAGGGAGCCCAGGTCAGCCAGTGGTCTCTGAGCCAGGACATTGAGGGACACCTGAGTCTCAGGGACTGGTCAGGTGGCCAGAATGGGAAGGAAGGAAGGGAAGTGCTTCATTTGGTTGGAGGGGAAACAATGTGGACACATGAGAGCAAGAGCAGCAGGATGTTTCCTTACCTGTAGTAACATGATGTCGTTGGAGTAGTTCTTTGGATTATAGTCTGGGTGGGGGATGACTCTTTTTACCGGAATGACCTGCTGGGTCTTCTCCTTCGTTTCAATGTTGTGGGCCCCTAGGGTGACATTGATTAACCTGCACGGAGAGCAGATTGGGTGAATGGTGGGGAGGTAGAATCACAAGAGATAAGCCCAGAAGCTGTGAAGGGCAGGTCATAGCTGGGGCAGGGCAGGGCTGCAGACTGGGGAAATCAAGGCAACAGGTGAAAGGGGCTGAGTGACTCTACTTCTCAATGACACTGAGTTCAGGAATCTGGGAGCTCTCTCTGGCCCTCAGGAAATACCATGAATAGCTTTCATTTTCATTTTGACCCTAATGCATGTGTTCATGGTCCATCGCTGCTTTATTTGCTGAGTGTGGTCCTCCTCTTCCTGTGTTACTTATTGTCACCTCTGACCCTCTGAGCCCAGAGATTACTTGTCCTATTTCCCAGCCTCTCATTGCTCCATCATGATCCCTGATGGCTCCTCTGATGAGGTCTCATGAGCTTGAGTTACCGGGAGCCTGGGGAGCTGCCCTGGGCTGCAGCTCCTGGGATGGAGGACAGGGTCCCTGTAGGGGTCTCAGGATGTGAAGCCTGGCTGCAGCCTCTTACCTTCTTTTGCAGTGAGCAGCTGTCAGAACATAGTTCTTTCTCACAAGGACACCACCACACATAGACTCCTTCTCATCTTTAATGCGAAGATAGGCCATGTAGGGGCGGGAGTGGGGCCTGGCTTCATGTCCCCCGATGATCTCCCCTGAAGGAAAAGTGTGTTGCACTTGTGTGTCCCCACTGAGTCCACCAGGCAGGCACTGGCTTGATGACTCAGGCACATGGGCATTTGGGAGGCTGGACTGGCCTGGAATTGGCAGGGGGTGGGGTGGGCCCTCAACTTTCTCATCTGGAGAGGGAACAGCAATGGGCTGGGCCTGTGACTTTGCCTGACACATAGTTGAAGGTGAGAATACAGGTCTTAGGGACAGAGAAGGCCTGGAGGTTTCTGAAAATTCCTCTCCTGACTTCGCTTGGTGTTGGGTGAGCTTCTGAGGCCCCCGTGGTGCTGTGACGTCCAGGGTAGTGCACTTTGCAGTGTCCAGGACTTAAGGGATCTAGATGCTGACACATGAGGAGTTCCCGGTAAGTGTTTGTTAGCTGCCTGGAAGGGTTGGCCCCCAATGGGCCTCTGGAGTTGGGTTGGTAAGGCCAGTGCTGTGGGATTCTGGAAAGCAGAGAAGTTTGGGGCTGCCAACCTCACTGGCTCATCCTTTAAGGAGAGGACCTGCTAAAGGCCTGGGAAGAAAAGCAGAGCTGGAGAAAGGGACTGAGGGGCCTTGAGATGGAGCAGAGGAAACAGCAGTCTTCTGGGGACAGTGACTCCACCAACTGTGGGGTCTGCTGAGCTCTGGGCTTCTCTCCTAAGCAGACCCTGAGGACAGCACCTGTCTCATCACAGACATGGAAGCCAGGACTGCTCTGCCCTCTGCAGTTTCCCAGCCTTTGCCATGCACTTCTAGGAAGTTCCACTCTCCACCTGGCACAGGTAGGGCCTGGGGAGGGCATTGTGCCCACTGGCTTTTCTTGAGAATAGGCTTCTGTCCTGTCATTTCTGCGTGTAGCTCATCCAGCATCATGTGTGTGGGTCTGAGATGGGATGGAAGCTGAGGTTCAGAGCATTCCTGGTGGAGAGCTGGATCTGGGATGTGCAGTAGGACCAGGAGGTCTGCGCTAATGTGGGATGGGTTGGGCCTGTGAGGATGGGGATGGTCACTCACCTGCCTCTGCCGAGGGGAGTAGGAAAAAGGCCAGCAGGAGCACGAGCAGGGGTGGCTGCATCTTCCCAGGAAGACTGCTCAGGTCGGAGCTGCTGGTGTTTCTCTGTGCTCTCTTTTAGTGCGCAGGAGAGGAAGGAGGTGTGGGTGGGCTCTGTGACCTGAGTCCCCTTCTGGTTTTGTAGTGCTTCATCCCAGAAGGCTTTCTATGAAGCATCTCCACCCCCACACCTCCTGCCTGATGATGGTCTCTGGGTGGTTGTGTGAGAAGTATGCAGTGACCACATCAGTACCCACAGCTGATGACTCAGAGCAGACATTAGAGCAGACTCCAGTCCTGAGCAGTAACCCAAGGGTACAAGGTGGGGCCTGTGTGATGTGATATCAACCAGTGGAGGTACTGGAGCCCAGAAAACTGAGTCCCCAGTGAGAGAACAACCAATGCCTCATCTCCATGCTACTAAGTCCATCAGGATAATTTCCTTTGCCCATGTGTGTTTAGGCCCTTCTCTGTCCAATGCAAACATAGCAGAGATGTATCTTGTTCCTTTAGAGCAGAATTTTCAACCTTTTTCATCTCATGGCACACATAAACTAATCACTAAAATTTTTTGGTACACTAGAAATATACTTTTTGCCTATCTAACAAAAAAGAGAGGTAAAATTTTGATTGATTTACAAAAAAATATAATTGCCTACCCTTTTTGCTCCAAAATAATCAGGTTCCTACACTTCTATATAAGAATTGCTGGTACCAAGAATTTACCAATCAGACACAACCATGTTATTCAAGGGGACCAATAATATGCAACTATATTATATGACCTCTATATTTTTAGTTTAAGACAGGACATTTACACCAGATGACTGTTATTGTGTTGGCTATTGTCATTTTTTATTTGCTGACCTAAGGGAAAATAGGTTAGTGACCATGACTAAATAATCTGGTATTGCATGTTTTAAAAGTTCTTGTGGAACACTGGTTGAAAATCGCTGCTTTAGAAAGAGCCAACCATCTGATGGGGGAGACAGAAACATCAGGGAGCAGAGTACTGAGTGGGAAGGGCCATGGTAGAAAGATGCACAGGGAAGGAACAGAGCATGGCCACCATAAACCGATATAGCAACCCATTCATCATCACAGCTTCTATCACTGAGCATTTGTTTTTATTTAAAATGCTCAGTGATAGAATCCATCTGTCTTGTCAACATTTTTAACCAAAGTACTGTCCGTGACATGTAGTAGCCTAGCGTAAGGAATCATTATTGCCCTTGCAGTTGAACCCACTGATTAGCTTAGCCTAGACTAGGCTAAGTGGTAGGCAAACTGCGGCTTGGCAAAACATGGCTCACGAGCCACATGTGGCTCTTTGGCCCCTTGAATGTGTCTCTTCCACAATATACCGGGTCTTCCACAAAATACCGACTTCTGTGCATGGGCCACGAAGTTTCAATCACACTGTATGTGCGCGCCCGCATGTGGTATTTTGTGGAAGAGCCACACTCAAGGGGCCAAAGAGCTGAATGTGGCTCGAGAGCCATGGTTTGCCGACCACGGGTAGGTCATCCTTACTTTGGGATGGCTGGGTTTAGTCCCACCCAAACCACATGAACGAGGAGTGGAAAGGGCTGTTTCCCCAAAGGAAGTTCAGGTTACTAAATTGTCAATATTGAGTGAAGTGAGAAAGCGTGCTTATCAACTAAAGATCAATAATTGTCCCTTCAGTATCCTTTGTGCTCTGTGCAGAGCCACACTTCTGCTAGAGCAGGCTTGGCACATAATAGGCTCACACTAGCTAAGCAAATTATGCTGATGATCTCACTACACAGTGAAGGACTGTTGCTTCTAAACAGCCTTGGCCCAATTCTGTTCAAAGGTCAACTAAGCTTCTCTGAGTGGTTAGAGTCTGGTAATTTAAATGTCCACCTTTATGTTTTCTGTTTTTTACAATTTTTCTATGAGGAATATTATGTATCAAAATACATAACTTCAGTGTAAACGTCTTCCTTGTCATAGCACATACACTCCAAACCTCTATGTTTTTTGAATTCATAGTAGACATTTACAAAATAAAGAACCTTTCTGATGACAGTGGTAACTATGCTCATTAAGGAAAGTTGGCCTTGTGTCCTGAAGAGAGTGCAGGTGTCTGCTAAGGCAGCTTAGGCAGCCGCCTATGGTCATGTCCTTGTTTCTTCTTTTGTCCAGCTCCCGTTTTGGCATTTTTCTACTGAGACTGAATCTTCTGCTTCTACTGTCTCAGACCTTAGTTAATACACTGCAACTGCTTTTCTACAAAACTGTTGATCAGCAAAAACAAAGAGGCTACAGGATCCCTCATTTTTATGCTGTGACCTTTTGGGCTTCATGCAAAGACAGTTCTGTGTAAATGGACAGTTGACCCTAACTTGGAAATATGAAAATCAGTCCATTCTTGTCATTTTTAAAATAATTATAATTATATTGATGCTCATATTGTATAAAATGACTCATTTAATAACGAAATACCAGTACTTTGCTTTAAAAAAGAAAGAAAATTTGGAAAGTAGAAAGAAAAAATGTCACTCATTTGTGCATCTCCCACAGACAGTGTTACCATAAGAAGTGCATTTTAAATACTTGGGATCACGTTATACATACAATACACTATTCTTTTATCTTCATTTAACCCTATAACATAAGAATTTCCCCCATGTTCTTAAAAACTTATTATTCAATACCACTGTAACCTTTCCTTCCTAGTTATTAAAAATTTATCATGCAACTAATTTTTGTAATCATTGGAAAATTTTAAAAGCATTTTAAGAGAAACAACTAAAATGGCCTGATTTCAGATTGTTCCTTGATAATCATATTTACTGTATTGAGGTATAAACTAACATATTTTATTCTCATGTATATCTCCATTTTTAAAAACCGAGGATTATGTTAAACATAAGATTATATTATAACCTTTATTAAATATTGAGGTGGAATTCACATAACGTAAAATTAATTATTTTAAAGTGTACAATTCAGTGGCATTTAGTGTATTCAGAATGTTGTGCAACCACCAGCTCTCTCTAGTTTCCAAACTTTCTCATGTCAGAAGAACATTTTATCCATACCCATTAAGTTGTTAACCATTAAGTTGTGTGTATCCACAAATTAATGGGTACTTAATCACTTTCCATTCTCCCTCTTCTAGCAACACCCCACCCTGGCCATTGGCAACCACTAATCTTATTCCTGTCTCTATAAATTTGCATATTCTGTATATCTCATATCAAAGGAATCATGAAATATGTGAGCTTTTGTGTTTGGCTTCTGTCACTTAGGGTAATGATATTGAGGTTCATCTAAGTTATAGCATACATCAGTATTTTTTATGGCTAATAATTTTCCTTTTGTGTGTGTGTGTGTGTGTGTGTGTGTGTCCCAATTTACCCCTTTATCTGTCAATAGACATTTAGGTTGTTTCCATCTTTTGGCTATTATAACAAATGCTGCTATAAATATTTGTGTAAAACTTCCATGTGGCCCTGGCCAGTTTTCTCAGTGGTTAGAGCATCGGTACTTGGATCAAGGGGTCTCAGGTTCAATTCCCAGCACAAGTTGGGGTGTGTGTTGTAGGCAACCAATCCATGTGTCTATCTCACATCAATTTTTCTATCTTTCTCTTCCCCCTCCGTCTTCCCTTACTATCTGTGTGAAAAACAATGGAAAAATACCCTCAAGTGAGGACTTAAAAAATAAACACCCTTCCATTCCTGCAAAGAAACCAAAAATACTTCAGTGTGGATGATATGTTTTCATTTCTCTTGGCTATATGCCTAGGAGTGGAATTGCTGGGTCATATGGTAATCCTAGGTTTAAGTTTTCAAGGAATCGCTAAACTGTTTATTGCAGTGGTTGCATCATTTTACATTCCCACCAGCAATATATGAATACTTCCATTTTTCACATCGCAGCAACACTGGTTATTATTATTATCACTAGAGGCCCAGTGCACGGATTCGTGCACATTGAAAGGAAATTAATTAGAAGGTGGCTCGCAGGGTGGGACTGGGCAAGATGGGCCAGACATGCCCTCAAGCCAACCTCCCTCAGTCCCTCCCCAGCCAGATGCACCTGGGGCATCACCAGGGCTTGAAAGACATCTGCGGCTTGAGTGGGGTCCCTTTGGTAGGGGAGGTCCCTCGGCTCAAAACTGGCAGTCCGACATCCTCCCTAGGGGCCCTGGAGTGCGAGAGGGCACTCTGCAATATTGCTGTTGCTCAGCAGCTTATGCATTGAGCATCTGCCCCCTGGAGATCAGTATGCAGCATATCTACCAGTTGGATAGTTGGATGGTCACTTAGGCTTTTATATATAGAGATTATTTTTATTATAGCCATTTTACTGGGTATGGAATGGTATTGTGGTTTTGGTTTACATATTATTAATAACTGATGAGGTTTGGCATCTTTCCCAGGGTTTGCTGGTCATTTGTGTATCTTCTTTGGATAAATGTTGACCTTTCTCACCATCCTCATTCCTGTGTCCCTCACTATTTGGGTTGGTTTTTCAAGAGTTGATCTGGAATCTTGAACACAGTCACCTTGACATGCTATGCTGATTAGGCTGAAAATTAAAGGGTGGGGAGTTCAGGGAAACTTTCCTTTTAATTTCAATGGATAGTCAAATGGCAAAGACTGTGTAGGAAAGTGCTCCCAAATCTAGAAGTAGAGATACCACGTTAGGGGAGGGGAAGCTTACTGAGGTGACAGACACGTAGAAAAGAGTGTGAAACAGGTACCTTCCTAAGAAAGAACCCCACCTGGGAAAAGCCTCACTGGAGAGACTGTTTCTTTCTAGATGTGTCCAAAGTTGAGTCAAAGTAAAAGATGGCAAAATTCATCTGTGATTTGTAATCTTAAGAACCCGAGTCTAAGTATAATTTAATAATAATCATATATCTGGAAAAGAAGATATGAAAATAATATCTAACAACTTAATGGTGGCTAATATTGATTGATCTCTGACCATGGATCCTCACTTCACCCTTTGAGTGAGCTACTGATATTTCTTCCATTTTACAAATGAGAAATCTAAGACCCCTAGAAGGTAGGGGGCATGCTC